ACAGAGTACGAGGTCTCGGTCTGCGAGAAGGACACGTGCCGCTGCCGCTCTTTCATGTGCAGTGGAAGCCGCGACTGCGAATCGAGCGCGCTCGACTGCGCTGGCAAGGGGAACCTGCTGTGCGGTGAGAAGGGGATGTGCGAGTGTAAGCCCTGCACTGAGAACTGGAAGGGTTTGACTTGTTTGGTGGATGCGGATTGCAACCACTGCTGCAAGCGCGGGACCTTGCCCAAGTGCAAGTTTACTCGCCTCGAGTTTTGGTCTGGTAATGAGTGTCAGTGTGATCTTTGGAATTAGACGGGGATCGTTTCTTGGAGGAGAGGAGGATGGCCTTTCTTTTTTCCGGTTTACGACTAATCTGAATGCTGGAGATTGCATCACACTGGAGGGAATGAAAGTCTTGGAGTGATACCGAGATACCGCCCTTAAGGCAAAGATAGAGAAAACGAATGAATGAAGAATTTCTCATCAACATGGTGTTGTGTGTTTGGTTGCTTTGAGTGGTGAACACTTGTGATATGTTGGGAACTCCCCTCGTAGGCCGATATAGTCTTGCTTCAAATTACGGATTGAATCTCAAAGTAACCGCAGTCTCATGGTCCCAAAGGGATTAACCTCCAAGCTCAAGGTTTGAACTCAGAGGATTGATATCCATTCACCAACTCGGCTACACAACATCATCAAGACGGCTCCCACTTCGATCTCGAACATTTCGTCTGCGGATCGTCCAAGCTCGAGTCAACTATGCAGCGAATGGAACATATGCCCAAGACATCTTCTGAAAGGGAGGTCCTGGAGTCGCAATGGATCACTAGGTACAGCAGTGGGTGCTGCGAAACCGCAAATCGAAAAGGCGGGTTGTGTGGCTCTTCGAGAGTTCCATGAAAATGTCCCAAATTTCAGGTTTGATTGTGAATTGCCTCGATTTCTTTCCGGCTCTGTTCGGATGATGATTGTTTAGCCTTATATATGGTATAAGAAAACGAAATGTTGCATTTATAAGCAATATCATGGGATTCGGATTATTTCGAATGCCTCGAATTAGGCCATCACTATTAAACCTGTTTAAAATCGTCTTCCTTCAGAACTCGACTCCGTTCGTCTAGATTCCACTCCATTTGAATTTGGAACAAGAGATTGACACGCTCAGAAAACAATGCTTCCGCAACAATGCAAGTTCATGACATGTAATCGTTCAATGTCTCTATTACTATGAAAAGTCGTGAGCCGGGTTCGCCCCTTTGTGAGGGCAAGTTCCCTCATCTGCATTTCCCAAACGCCATTCTCTGTGTTGTCATGACCCATGATTCATTCACAATAATCTCATCGCTAGCAATGTCTTGAACAAGGAAACATCCGCCTCCACTGTCGGCGGTCCTTAGGGCTTCACGCCAGAGCTCGCCGCACTCTCACCAACCTGCACCTCCTCATCAGGCACACCAACAGCAACACTGCTCGCGATGCTCATAGCCGTCAAAGAGCGCTCCCTCTCGCCTCCGGGACGTCTGTTGGAGCCGGCTATACCAGCCCCGCCGGTAGTGACGCCGACGCTGGTGGCATCCGCCACAGCCGCAGCTGAAGCGTTAGCGCTGCTCGTACTCTCACTCCGGTCCCGTCCAGCGGCGGCAGTCTTCTCCCTGACCATCTTCTCCAGATCTCGAATTCTCTGCTTCAATACCTCGTTTTCCTGCTTGGCCTTCTCGAGCTCCTGTCGGTGCAAAGCCGTCTCCTCATACCGCGACGTCGTGGGCATCAGGCCAGGGGAAAGCTGCGCCTCGCTGCCGCCGGGCGTGGCGGCGACCGAGGTGTTACCGGTATGCTGCTGTGGCAGACGCTGCTGCTGGAAGTATGTCAGGCCACTGGTGCTGGTCGGGTCCAGATAGTGTTGCGACGGCGCCGGCGAGGACGATAAGCTGTGGCGGGAGGCCACGCTGTCTTGGCGACCCGGGTGCGGGGGCCGGGCGATGGGGATGGACATGGTGGATGCGGCGGCTGAGCCCGCTACGGCGGTTTGGCTTCGGGTGCTGGCGTTGGACGCGGTGCGGTGGTGTCGGCGGGAGCTGTTGGACGGGACGGCGGGGGTGGAAAAAGCGGCGCCGGAGAGGAGGTGGGTGTCGGGTGCTTCAGTCGTGTTGGAGGCTGATGTGGAGGAGGCGTTGGATGCCACAGAGGCGTTCTGCGCTGTTCGAAGAAGTTGGAGCTCTCGTGTAAGGCGGTTCACCTATCTCGCGTGATTAGCCTTTGGTCTTCCTGGAGCGTGTAAGTCTGCCTGACGTACAACTGCCTCTTGCTCTTTTTCTAACTGCATGTGAAGATCCGACGCGGTGATGGGTCGGGGGTGACGGATGGGGCCTGGTCCGGAGACAGAGGGCTCAGGGAAGGCTGGCGGCGACGCTGCTATTGCTGGAGCCATCGGTGGAGATCCTACGGGCGGGTTGGAGGGCGGATGGTTGACAGTGTTCTGGTTCGACGGAAGGATGTTGAGGGCCGAGGAGTCGGAAGATTGCGCTGGAAGTGGAGGAGGCGGCATCTGGTGAGAGGAAGAGCGCCGTGAGGCGCTAAGAGGATGTGGCGAGGCCGGAACAGAGTTGAGGTCGGGCATTGTGACTGAAGATGAGGTTGGTGATGTTTGTGATGGTTGTTGGCTGGAATTCAACCGCTGATACGAGAACGAAGCTTTTGTCTGGGTCAGGAGTTGTGTGATATTAGCTGCGATATAGCTCAAACGCGTGGTTGTTTGTTGCTTTGTTTGGTGGTCGCGGTCAACACGTCCTAGGTCGTCCAATCTCGCAACAGGCTGTTTGTTTGTCTGGGTTGCTTGGGTTTGGAGCTCCGTCATGCTTCATGCTCCCATTCATGCGTCGTTGCCCCACACGCGGCCCCGCGATAAGGTGAGGTCCAGCCACAACCCCGCTCCTGCCACATTGGTGAAAGCCACCCAGCCCAGCCACGATGTCCAGCTATCTTATCGGTCCATATCTTATCTCGACGATCACGGAGTCTTAGTTTATCCTTCGCCGGCGACATGGGTCCCATCGGCTGCCGTTATCCCGTCCCAGTGACGCACGTTCCGCCCGTCTCTCCCTCTCCCTGTCACACTCAACTCTCACAACCGCCCCCGATCTACCACCACTGCGATCCGACGTTGTATTTCCGTGCGTGGTGCAAACTCTATGCGGCCCGTGTGTTACAGTTGAAATCCCATCTACCGCTGATAGCCTTACCGACGACAACATGCGTTTCCAGAATGCACATGTTCAACTTCTGTGCGAATACGACCTCGCCGCCAACATCACATCAGCTCGAGACGGCCAGCGACACATGCCTTCGACGACAACGACCAAGATGGAGGGCAAAACATAGCATGGCAACCCTCAACGTCGCCTAGTTCGAATTCGAGAGTTCCGTATTACAAGCTCTACTACCACCAGAACCACCACTAGAGGACAAACGTTCCAGCGCCACACTCAGCCATCTTTCTGCCTGCCGGCCTGAACTCTCTGGCGGAGAAGTATTCTGTCATCCTGGATCCGACTGCAATAACGGCATTACCCTTACACTTATTGTGGACGAAACACGGAGACAAGGTCGATAACGGAGTGTTTCCCACCGTTTTCTCGCAGATCACCCGCCGTTTTGCCAAATGTGGCTGCTTTGCTAGCGTCGGCGCCACACTCTTCCCCGCAGCTGCCCCGCTCCTGACGTTGTATGGGCCAAGCGCCCCTTGCGACTCCGTTCTCACCCCCTGACGACGGCACAGACGGCTGGATGGTTGGACGACCATGCAAAGAGATGCCATTCACCTTCGGCGCTTTTCCTCCGGACGTCTCGGGTATGCCACGCGTCCCCTGTCAACAGAGCTTCCCCCTCCCAAGCGCAATCTCTCCCCCGTCACTCATTGTCCAGTTCGAGCGGGCAGTTTGGTCATAGCTCCAGCGATGATCTCACCTCTGGGCAGCCTCTTTCGCTTCAGTCGGAAAGGAGGTCGGTTAACGACAGCGTTTGTGCAACGGCGGACACACAACGCTAGTCAAAGTCGCTCAACGCTTGCGACTTTGACCGGTCACACAATCCCATTGCTCTGGCACGGTTGTCTTACCAGACGTCGTCCGAACAGAGTCTACCAACCGTTCTTGCCTTTTGGAGCTGCACCCACCCGACGACCACTCTTCCCGCCAAGCTTGGCTTCCCGCCATAACGTGCCCAAATATGATCGATCCCGCGGGTGCGACGCGGCGGCGGCGAAAAGCGGTACGGGACACGACTCAAAAATATGGAGCAGAATCTCTGCTATCGGTCTAGATCATTGCGGGTCATCCGTTGAGTACATGAGTACCGTCCTTCTGGCCCAGCCGCGGTGCCTCTTCCGTTCCCCTGGGGAGCCTGGGAGGGGGTGGCCTGCGATCGCCCGCTGTCAACATCGTAAGGAACTCGCAAGAAACAGGTTTTATCCCCTGCACCTGCTTCTGCCCGGTGGACACCTGATGAGGCTGAAATGTTTCATCATTGGACCTCGACCGCATTGGCACTTCACTCTTACTGCATTGTGATGCTGCACTCGGCCGACCTCGCGGATCGGGTACCGTGAATGGGCTTTGGGTAGGCGCGGTTTGCCATCCTCGTGATGTCGATGATGCGGGAGCGCACGCATCGGGTACGAGCACCGCATATTGACCGGGACCTCACCAGCCACACCTTGAAGATACTCACCGGTAACTGGCCCTCTCACCACGGCCGACGGGTGCGAATCGTCGCATACTCGTCCACGGGCATGATACGAGACTCGCCAGAATGCAGGTCGCCGGATTAGCCCACGGCCCCTGCTAGTCAAGACAATCTTCACCGTTCACGATACTGAGAGTAATTGCTTACTTCACTGTTTGAAACTCAACGGAGACGTGAACAAGAGCGTCATGGATGGTACAGTCTCTCAGGCCATCCGCTGATTTCCGCAATAGAATTTCCAGCAAGCTGCACTATTCGGAAGACTGGACTAGCTCGTCGAACGTGGAGCTTGAGCAGGAGACTACGAACACCTGTCAAAGAGTGGGTTCATAAAAATCTCATTTCGGCGGCTAAAATTACATTGGGGACCAGATCGTATCCGCCGCTAAGTCTGACAAGCTCGATTCGCTGGGGGACGTATTGGCACACCGACAAACCACCCCATCCGAAAACAACACCGTCTTCTGAACGGAGACGAGCAAGCAAACACGCACGAAGCGGTCTCGCGTTCTGTAAAGATGAACAAAGAAAACTCGTTAACAAAAAATCCCTGTACCCGCTTACGCCTCTTCCTCTCTGCAGAAAGCTTTTCGCCTTTATGCCGTTAAAATTTGTGGTATGTTGAAACATTTCGATCGTAATGACTGATTTCGATGCTGGACACTCCCGCTTCTGCTGTCGCAGAGCAGGGGGAGTGCTTGTCGTGGTGGACGCGATTACCCATCTCTACATCATGTCGCTATGCAGTTAGCCTTGTGGACAAGGAATTCGAATCTTTTCCGAACGCAAAGATGACGTAAAGAGAATGCCCAGAGCGTTGAGCGGCCCTTGTTGATTTCGGGTCTGTGGTGGTTGTCGACGTGATTTTTACATTGATCTAGGGAGAAACCGTCGCGGTCAGTCTCTCCTAAACCGCTTTCGCTCGGGTCTGATGGCCGAGGGGTACACGGATGGCGCATCGAAGAAAAAAAACGGTCGACGGACTGCGCGCGAACTTTCGTGCTACTGCCTCGCCGGCCGAGATGCACCACCGACCTCGGCCCAGAGAAATTGTGGAGGTGTTTGTGTGTAGGATAGGGAACAACCGTTTCCTATCCTCTCCCACAGTTTGCCAGCTCTTGTGAAAAAGACAAAGGAAAAACAACCGAGACTGGACTTGAGAAGTATTCTGGCTGACTCGCCGCTGCGAACACTGCCCCCAGCGAGGCCCGATAATCGGTCCCCACAAGGAAAACGGTGATGGCATTACATGACAGAGTTCGAAAGCAGGTAGAAGCGCAGTGGGCAGCAAATGCAGAAAATCTGAATCGCGGACACCACTGCAGATTTGGGGTAACAAAGCATTGACCAACAAGATGAGAGGGGAAAAGATCCAGAGAAAAGCATAATCGAATCGTGAACAGAGAAGAAAAGAGGGAATACTCACAGCAATGCCAGCGTCAAGTCACCGTGGATCTTGGCCTTGAGCGTAATCTCAATATCCAAGTTCAGGTCAAGCCTCAGCTTGAGCGGGTTCTTGCCCGCGCCGCCGCCGCCGCCCTGCATCTGCTGCTGCTGCTGTTGCTGCATCATCATCTGCTGTTGTTGCTGCTGCTGCATCTGCTGCTGGCGCTGGCGCTGCATCATCTGCTGGTTCTGGTTGCCGCCCTTTTGCGCGGTCGTGTAGTTGCCGCCGTCATCCTCCTCTTCCTCCTCTTGGGAGTCGTAGTCCTCGTCGTCATCGTACTCGCCCTCGTCTTGCGAGTCGCCAGAGTAGTACTCGTCGTCGTCGTAGACCTCGCCGTCCTCGCCTTCTTCAAACTCCTCGTCGTCGTCGTAGTACTCGCCCTCGGCGCCCTCTTCGCCCTCGGCGTACTCTTCCTCGCCGTCTTGGAGTTCAGTGGGCTCCTCGAGGTCAGCTTCTCGTTCTGTGCGGCCAGAGTCGCGGGAGCGTACCTTTGCGGGCTCTGCTTGCTCCTGCTCCTTGCCTCCTGCGGCGGGCTTCTTGTCGTTGTCGACGACGGACTCTGGCTCCGCCTCGTCTTCGACGCCGGCCTGGTTCGCTGAGGCTTGCTTCTTGTCCGTGGTCTCTTGGCCGACGGGCTTCTGCTCTTCCGTCTCGGGCTTCTTGTCTTTTGACTGCGTGTCGGCGCCGGCGGCAGCGTCTTCGGGCTTCACGTCGTCGCCGGGCTTCTTCTCATCTTCTTGTTGTGTCTTGTCGTCCGTCTTGGCAGCTGCGTCTTCTGGCTTGCTGTCTTCGGCCTTCTTCTCATCGGTGGTGGGGGCACCCTCGCCTTCTGCGGGGTTACCGAATTCCCCGACCGGTGTGGTGCCCTCGGGCTTCTGCTCTTCCGTCTTTTGGTCTAGGGAAGATTGCTGCTGCTCCTCGGGCTTGGTCTCCTCAGGCTTGCTACTGTTGCCCGGCTGGTTCTGGTTGCCGGCGGCGCCTTGGCCTTGGCCCTTCTAGAGGACTCACCATTAACACCATGACTTACATCTACAGTGAATGTGCTGTGGTGAGTGGAACTTACCTTGTTCTTGTTTCTGGCCATTGTGTCCGAGTCCATTAATCTGACGGGGGTGGTTTATTGGAATATGGAAGTGAGAACCTCTCAATTGCCCTTCCAGTGAGATTTCTCGAGTGAAGCTATTCAGATGGGGGTATGAGTCGAGTTTAGTGGTCGCGGTGTAGTATGGCGTTTAGCTCAATGTGCGTAGATATCTCCCCCTTCCAAAAAAGTGAAAAGAGATCAGAGTGAGTTTGTTCAATGAATATGGGAATCTTTTCAAAATTGGAAAGAAAAAAGATCAAGAGATCGTCTAGAAGGGTTGGGGGAAAGCTAGGTACACAGGTTGGTATAAGTTAAATCGGATGCCATGAGAATCAAAAACCTGGGAACATCATTACCTCACACCCCTCCCCCCTCAATGCCATCAAACAGGAATTTCTGCACAGGGACACAGGGACAGCGAGGCTGAACCCGATGGACCGCAATCCGGATCTTCATCTCTTGTGACGCAATAGGGTGTGAATGTGGGAACCACGAGCTTACACACACCTACGCACTACATACTCCATACACGGGGATGGGGGAAAGGGGGGACCCGGTGAACAGGCAACGTTGGCACCAAAGAAGGGGACCCAGCAAAAAGTTGGTCAAAGAAAAAAAAGTGGCATGGGCGGGAATCAAAGAGGCAACGGGTTACAATCGAATGAGGTCTGGACCTTCGCGAGACCCAGCAGAGAGAAATGTCACTGTTTGGTGATAATACTGGGGAAACGGTACAAGGAAGGGGAGAGGGAGGAACGTGTACCTTCTGACAAACACGTGTATAGACTTGGACCCGCCGCTGTGATATCACATTCGATACAGGTTTTGGATGAGAATCAAGATTTTCGGTCTTCTGCTTAGGGGGAGCAGCGGCTGTCCGAACTCCCTAACCTGCGGTAAAGCTCACCGTATGCTGGCACCTGGTATGGGAAGAGCAGCGAGCAGGCAAGTAGGCGAGCTAAACTGCAGCCAGCCAGCCCGTCCTTCCCGATCGACAGGGTCCCTAGACACAAGAAGAGGGGGTGGGCGTGTAAGAGGTCCTTCGGCATAAGGCGATAAAGCAATCTAGCAAAAACGGTAGACAAGCACCAGCTATGGCAGAGGACCAAAAAAGAAAGAGAATGAGGATTGAGAAAGTGACGTCGACGGGCTGGGATCCGAAATGCGTGCTCGAACCGTGGTTGGTCGAAACTCTGCATTCCGCTGCGTTGCGAGCAAAGAGCTTCGGGAGCTACCCCGGTCGATCATGTTCGAAAAGTCTATGAACCTAGCGTGAGTGGAGGAGTGAGGAGGAGGGATCTGAAGTCAAAGCAGACTAAGCCCGAGTGTACCTAATCCTCTCGAGAGAATGACGTCGATGGGGTGTGAATCTATGGTGGACTTTGAAAGAGGATTCGTGAAATGTATGTATCAAAGTATCGAACCGCAAAAAAAAAAAAAAGAAATGGAGTATGCAGAGAACAGCGAACGGTCCAGACATGCATATTGTGGACCACACCAAAACGTGAGCATTGGGTGTGGGCTGACCCCAGACAGGGGTACCCGAAACGGGCATCTCGATCCAGAATGACTTCCACTTCTCTTCTCGTCCTGGCGCTGGGTACATGTGGCCCGCAGACTTTTGCGAAGAAGAGCCTAAGAGAGAGGAGAAGGAGAGGGATATTCGATGCCTGACCGTACCGTGCCGTGACCGCTAGACCAACCAGCCCAGACCTGCCACGCCTGCCAGCCACTCCTCGCCGCGCGGAGGAGGAGGAGGAGGAGGAGGAGGAGGAGAGACGCGAGGCACGGGGCGTGCGTGAGCCTTTCGATATGATGACCACACGAACCCCATAGAACAAACCCCGTAAACCTGTTTCTTCTGAGAATCCATCAAAGAAGGTCCCTCGGAAGCCCTCTGAGACAGTGACATTCCGGTATCGATCTTCAGGACTCCAGCAGCAAAGAGAGTAACTCGGCCCCGAACCACGTCCCAACGATCATTGCAAATCCGTTGATCCATACCCACGTTCGCACCGGTTTGACCCCACGGCTTGGGCCAATTTGACGTTCCCGAGTCCCGACGCGACACGAAGCAAACCTCGAGTTGTAAACAGGCAACGGCGAGGTTCCAAAGAACTTTGAATCCCTCGATTTCAACTCACTTGAGCTCGTCCCTGTGCCCACTCTCACTCGAAAAGGCCAGCGTCTCCCACTGCCCACAGTCACTCAACCGGATTTTCGTCCCTTGATTCCCACTTTACCCTTCCTGCATTGTTAGTCGTCCGCCTCGGAAAAAAAGTTCGAAACATGGTTATCGGTCTGCTCGCCATCGCCGCCATACCCACAGTCATCGGCACTGGTCAGGCCGTGAGCGCTCAGAAGAAGCAGAATGCCGCTGCCAAAGAACAGGCCAAGTTCAGCCTCACGGCGACCATGACTATTGACGGCAAGCAAGAAGAGTGTCCGTGTATCGTCGTCGACAACAAGGTGAGCAAAGCCCACAAACCAACAGCCAACAGCCCACATCCAACGCCCTTCACACTCCCTCCCCCTTTCCTATCGATCGCCCATCGACCCCCGTTCCCGCGTCTGCAGACATCTGCACGCTCTTTCTCTTTTTCCTTGCTTTTCTCTTTTCCCCGTTGCCTTTTGCTAGGGTTGGCACACCCACTCGGCCAACCTCGCCGCGTGTTTTGACTTACACTAGCACCCTCGCCAACTTGGAAACCTTGCGACGCATCTCAGTTGGACTAACACACGCATCCTCCCCCGCAGATATGGATAAGTCATAGTCTGGCACCGGCTCCAGGGCATAAGTTTTCAGGGTATTACTTCAACTACCCCAGCGAACCACCAATGCGTGCCTTGGTATCAACGATAGCGGAAGACCCGCCCATGTTGAACTGGATCTACGTCGACGCCGACAGCAGAGCACTCCGCCACGGGGGCCGCAAAGATACTCTGGGGCATGTTATAGGACCTTGGGGCTGGACTGACGATGAGAGGTATCTCTCACTCAGAGGAAGCGGGCTCGGCTTCGTAGCCGTACTGGAGGAGGACGGCAGGTGGGCTGCATATTGGGATCCGGATGGGCGGTTGCGGGAGGGCTATGATCCCGAGGACTGTATGGAGATAGCTCTCAGGCGGCAGATGGCGCTAGGCATTGAAAGCGCCTACGTGAAAGGATAGGCGAGCCAGATCATCTCGAAGGATAAACTCAGTGTGTGTCAAATTTTGGAATAATCCGGGGGGGAATCCAGGAGTCTCGGAGCTTTGGGGGGGACGTGCAAATAGAACAGGTCTCTAGGCGTTCTGCAGCTTGCAAGGATAGGAATAGTTGGCATCTGTAACCCGTGAGCCCGTACATCGTCAGTGCATAGCATTCAGCAAGCTTACGAGCTCAAACCAACTTACAAGAAGCTTGTTTAGTTGCAGGAATAGAGTAATGCTGCGTCATGCCTGCATTGGCGGCACCAGTGATCGCAAGTCCGTGGTGCGAGTCTGATAGTGCATGATTGGGTAAAAGCCAGCGAAAGGTGCGCGTTGAATCCGAAAAGGAACAGGGATGGCAGACACCATCTCGACCTCTTTGGTGTCTTTTGGGAGCGCCGGGATGTGTTGGGCTGGGTTGGCCGCGCTTCCTCCTCAACGGCATAGGCAGATCGGGGACGCATCGAGCATGAGACAAGACCAATGCCCCAGCGGCCCCAGTGAACCCGCCCCCCCTCCCCTCCGCACGCATGCCGCTTGGCCCTCTTCAACGTCATTTCGGTCCAGAACATCGAGAGAGTCGAGTGGTGTGACGCAAATCTAGAAGGGGTGAGAGCAGTGAGAGATGGGAATCCTGGATGCCCCAGGGTCCAACATGATCTCATCAGCTGGAAAGGGTGTAAGCTTTTACATCCTGTTTTGACCCCTTCCGGATACTGTCCGGAATCACTTATATGTTGCGTCCTCATCCAGAGTCGATGGACAGAAACAGACTTTGAAGAGACACTCCAGACTTACCGGTAGACAAAAAGCCCTTAATATCTGTTCTCCCTTCCTTCACACCAAGGAAAGTTCATTAGCCCGTCTTTGAACCATCAACTTCATCAAACTCATCAGTCACAATGGCCTCCCCCCGCGAGAAGAACAACACCAAGTACGCCTCCGAAGACGAGACCTCGGAAGCACCCAGCGAGCAGCAGAAGCCTCAGCGCCGCCAGCGCCCGCAACGCAGGCAGATGCAGAGACGCCAGCAGCAGTCAAGCGGCCCTCTCGACAACCTCGGTGGCATTGGTGATGTTGGCGGCGTGACCAACGGCGTGCAGAACACACTAGGCAACGTTGCTGGTGGTGCGTTGCAACAGCAAGGCGGCGGTGGTGGTGACAAGAGCGACACCCTTCGGTTGCGTCTTGATCTCAACCTCGACATTGAAATCACGCTGAAGGCACGCATCCACGGTGACCTCGAGCTGGCTCTCTTGTAAGTACCACTCATTTCTCTGTCTTCCCCCTCACCCTCCACAGTTACGGCCCTCCCTCTTGTCTGCGCTAGGTAGAGCTCCGATTCGTCCTCGCTTCTTAATCGCAGGCAAGCACGGGCTAGTTAGTAGCTTGTAGCCAAGTTCAAGATGGGCTAATGGGCTTTACCTCGTCTTTTAATCAGGAACTGAGAGACGTTTTCCACAGGGACCAATCTTAAAACGACAATCTTATCGTCGAATTTCTTTACAACACGGAGTCGCGGGTTTGAACAGTGGGCGAAATGCTTTTCGACCCAGTCTGATGGAATGTGTGGGTTTCTTTTTTTGTCGCCCGCTTTTACAGCCCAACCGTAAAAAGAAACGGTTGGGCCAGCAAGGGTTCGAGGAGTTGGTGGACGGATGGGATATCGGGATCCATCTGCCGCGTGTATTATGAAAGATTTGTGCATCATCGACATCATGAGATACGGACGCTATTTCGGGAAGTTTTATGGGTATCCTATTCGACGTTAGCCAAAGCATTCTAAACAGTTTCTTTTAACGAATGATACTTGACCAAAACCAATCATATGATGAAAAGCTGCAGCCACAGGTGACAAGCTCCCACACATGTGCTCTCCTCCCCTCACCTCACCTCACTCATATCTCAGTATGCTGCCACTCCCTCATACTCAATGGACATATCCTACAGGGCCTGAGAACGCCAATGATCCCAAGCCTCGATAGAACTGCGAATCAACTCGGTTGACAGACTTAGCGCGTGTCGTTGGTTTCAGCACACCATCAATGCCCTCAGCCACCCGCTAAGTGCCAGGCTCGTGTGGAGTAGCGTCGAAAAAAACAGGCAGAGCCATGTGTTGTGACATCCGCCGTCAAGCACGCCAAGGGGCGGAGACGGTGGCCAGCAACCGTTCGTAGCGCCAATTTCCATTAGCCTCCGTCTGTTTCACGCTTCACGTCTGGCGCCGTTGATCTCGGTGACGGGGCAAATCTCCAATGCGACGGTGGGGTGCTCTCCACCCACCCAACCAGCACAATCAACAGTGTGGTTGCCCATTCCTTCCAGAGGCTAGTGTCTTCGGGAGCGAATTACGAAGACGTGGGAGTGTCGGCTGGAGGACCTGGAAGAAGTGGCTGGATACGCAATTGGAAAGCGACGGCGCCAGAGACTACTGCAGACAATACTCGCTGTGCCTTGCTTTCCATGCGTCGTTTCTCCTGGGCTTAACTAGCGTTAGTTTATTCTGCCCAGAGACAACGCATTCAAGATTTCAATGTCCTGACGGGATCATGCTGGGATCCTGACTTCATTTCGCGTCGTCAAAAGTGCTCACCGAGACATGGAGAGAGAGAAGGAAAAAGGAAGAAAGAACCTTAGAGTTTAACCGGTCGATGTCAATGGTCAAGCCACAGAGCGGCTTCGGCCCTCCCTGTCCGTCCAATGTTGCCGCAGCGAGACAGCCACATGATGCGATGTAACTCGGGCCCAGGATCGAGTTGGTGTGTGAGTGAGTCGTCTTTTTTGGTTGCCCGCCGCCAAATGTAACGGTGGAACGGGCCCCCCTTGCTCCCCTCCCAAAGTCTCCCCACCGCTCCTCAATTCTCGATGCCACCTCATATCCGTAAGAAGGCCCGGTAAACGGTATCCACAGTACCGTCTCGACTCTGTGTGGCGGAGGTGTTCGCAATCGTACGGAGACGGTCGAAAAACGCTAGACGTGCAGGGTAACCGTGGCTGAACGGGAAATTTTAGCGTCGCATCCCGGCGCATCGGGTGGGAGCATCAGCCACTCACGTTCAACGTCGTCCTGGTCGCTGTGAAAATGTCAGTCAAGCGATCTTCACCAGTCTCAATCGTCAAGCCACCTGCCGACAAACGTATCGCGCCGATCGTACTGCCTCCGTCTCATTTCCAACGGTCTGGACTCTCGTCGACTTTCTTCTTCTTCGCCTCTTTGCATCTCATTGCCTCTTCAGGCTACCATCGAGATCATCTTTCGCCAGCCTGTGTCGGTTGTGGCGTTGATGGCACGCGGCCTTCGTCCATTGACAAACTCGAGACGTCTCTGAAGGTCTGCTGAAGCTGTTCGGGCATGAGGACCAACCCGAGCTTCTGATGAAGCTGATTCCTCCCACCAAGTGCCCTTTGAACAGTCATGAGCCACATCTGAACTCTGAGTGTTTCGGCTGGGCCAATGTCTAGGGCCTTTTCCAGAGTCTGTGGTCGGTGTGTGGTCGGTAAGCTCGAAGCATCCTTTGGGTCAACTGAGTGCCCCCGGACTGCTATCAATCCAGCTGAGATAGCGTCAACGCACGTGTGCGAATGTCCAGGCTCATGCTCGCTCACCGTGCTCTTCAGCAACAGTTGACGGCTAGCCGTGCGTTCCGTCCGTACAGTAGCTCAGGCGCCAGCCTAACCATTCAGCACCACGGCCGTTCGCACAGTCGTTCGTGTTTCGAAAGAAAACAGGCTTTTCCAGACCTTGTCGGACCTTTTGCTTCCAATCTCAGTGCTCTTCCGGCGCCATCTTCGGAGTCTTGCCTCGTTCCCATTCTGTCATCTTCACCACCCGCCAACGATCCCTTCCTCTCGTGCTTCTTTGCATGCCGTTTCCGAAGTACCCGGTGGAGACATTTGCGTGTATCTGGAGACACTGTGGAGTCAACAGATCTCGGTTCGACAAGTCCTTGAACAATCCCATCCTTGCACAGCAAGCCTGACAAGGAGTCAACGTGAACCGTCGCCCCGTTCGCCAGTTCTGGAACCCCAAGGCTGCCCCAGTTGTCAGTCTCGGCAGACACAAGACAGAACCCACTCTCGATCTCATCGTCGACCTGACGTCACAACGACTCAGCCAACCCCCTTCTGCCTTGTAGGCCTTGCAGAACCGCTGCCCGCGCCCCGCGAGCAATCAGAAAACCTCTGCCCGCGTGTATCAACCAAGGGGTGCACCGAGAGAAACGCACTCACGCGCACTCGACAGCAACACCGAACACCGTCCCTCCTCACACCTCACTCTCTCTCTCGCTCTCTCAACCGCCGCCCAGACTCTCTGAAGCAAGCAAGCAAGCAGGTCGGTCGATCGATCCTCAGGTGGGTTGCCGGCTCTCCATTCCTTCACAGCTGGCGGTCCTGGCCTCGCTTCCCTTCCCTCCCCTTTCCCCTCTCTTTGGCAGCAAGGCCTAGCTGACGCGGAACGTTCTTCTTCTCCCACAGAATCATCCAATGATGACGGCGTCCCCTCCTGCTCAGCAGACTCCACTCCAAACTCTCCGCGACGAACCCGACAGCCCTGCCTCGAAGCCGCCTGCACAGCAATCTATGCAGAGTCCCGTACCTGCGCGCCCGGAATCCTCGTCGCACACTATGCACCATACCGAGCCACGACCTGCGGCTGAAGCCGGCGATCATGATCATACTTCCCGGCACGATGAGTATGAGGTTGTCGAGGTCGAGGATGGACAGGCTGGGGTGGAAGAGGCGCCCAAAGCCACCTTCTCGCGCCCGCCTCTGCCTCGTCTGAACTCCCAGTCGCGGGCAGCTTCCTCGCCGGCGCCTTTCCATGAAACCAATCCTCCGCAGTATCCTCATCGACAGGTTAGCTACACGAGCACCCCACAATCGGAGCAGGGCGGGCCTGTCCACCTGCAGGGCTCGCGGGAGATACCTATCCCAATGAGGCCATCGTCTACACAATACCAAACGGGTCCCGAGGCATCAACACCGCCGACAACCGAGACCACAGACAATGGCATAGACGAGGGCTCGCAAGATGCCAAATCATCGTCTCAAGGCAACACCCCGAAGCCACAAGAGAAGAATGCCCCGATCGCGATCCCAAAGGTCACGCCTCTGTCTTCGGACCTTAGGTTGCCCCCAAACCTTGCTGAGCTAGCGCAAGGTCTGGATGGCAAGTACGTTGACGAGTTTGGAAACATTCTGGACTGGAACGGTCAAGTGCTTGGACGTGTCGAAGGTGACCTGCCGTCTATGATCGGACGGCCAGTCTCAGTAACGGGCGAGATCTTCAGCGAAGACGGCGAGGTCGTCGGTTACGTAGCGGAGAACGATGCCATTCCACCATCGCCTCCGTCTCCTAAGCCCATTGAAGGCATGGGTGACGGACTGAAGGTGGACCACATGGGGAACATCCTCGACAAGAATAACAATGTCGTCGGTCATTTCGACGGCGCTCCTCTGGCAAAGTCTGTTCAGCAGACAGGCCAGCCGAGTAGCTCAAGCCAGTCCAGCAATCCTCGACCTGGTTACATGCCCGACACGCATACTAGCTGCCCTCAATGTACTGCTCATCGACAGTCTAAGCCATCAGCTGATACTCCCAGCCCGTCCGAGATATTCATGGACGTCAAGTCAACCAATGATGGTATTCAGCTCATCATCAAGATTCCAACTGTATTTCACGGTGGTGGGAATCCCAATATCCATATAGGAACCAGATGAGCCATGTAATGGGATTTGCGTATTTTGGATGGATTGTTGATCTTCAGGAGTTCTGGAACCAGCGGTAGATACTAGCATGCGGCGGCGTTCAGACGGTAGTGAGACGGACATAGGCCAGGATTTGAATCGTAGTTGCCATCCAGACAAAACTTGGCAACGAACCGTTTGCACAAACTTGTGGCTCCGAGACCCGTTACTTGACCCGTTGTGTGAGGCTGAAAAGGAGAACAAGGGCGAGACTTTCGGATGCTTGCGGGCGCATAGACGCGGATGGTGATTTGGGAACTTGCAGAACGTGACGAATGGTAGTTGGTTTTTCGTGTTTCGAACAGCGTCATGACGTCCGCTGTGCATGCAAGTCCAGCCTTCATGAACTTCGCAATCCGCATTTTGGAAAAGAAAGTTGTTGGAAGTGACCGGGGGTACTGAGTGTGGAGGGACTGACGAATGAATGATGCAGGGCAGGGAGACCCCCGGGAAGCACTAGCCACACCAACTGAGCGTCTCCAAGAAAGATGGCCGTCGATCGATCAGGAAGCCAATGGTAATTCCCCAGACTGGCAGACTGTCACACCATACCCCAAGGTGCATCTCCCCTTCTCAAGTAAGGTTGCGTCATGATAGCTGGGATCCAGCCGTCCAAGGGCTCGGACGAGGTGTGGCTTTGCGTCATGATGGGCGACTGGCAAGCTGGCCATCCCTCCCCCCATGAAGTCACCCTGTGGCGCGAGCAAGGGCCAGAGCTTCGATGGACGAGGGAAGCTCCTCGAGCTTGAGCTCCCCTTGACGTAAGATTGGGAGCCGACGTTCAGCTGGAAACTTGATTTGCGCTGGAGGATTTGAGGTATAAGACGTCTGACCGGCAGGTCTTTGTATCGGATTTTGACTTTCACCTTCCAATTCAATGCAATCATCTCATGAACAGCTACATTTTCTAAGATACCCTGTTAGCGCTGAGTACAACGAATTTTTATCACGACACGAGCAAGAACAACAAGAAAGAAACAACAAGAAGACAAACAATATGGTCGGAGCTGCATCCAGGTCAGGCAGCAGCATGCCCGGTGGTTGGGGAAAGGGTGAGGAGCAGAAGTCAAGTGAGTTCACTTACACACGTCTCATGATGAGGCGAACACTAATCCTTCGTAGCATACTCGGTCGAGCAAGATATCCAAGACCATGGCGACAACCTCGTTGCCGGTGTCATTGGCAAGACCGGTGAGGTGGTAGACGAGACCGGCAAGACTGTCGGCAAGGTCACAGAAGGCGAGGCCGGAGAGCTTGTCGGTAACGTCGTCACCGCGACAGGCGATATCATCGGCAAGGACGGCGGCGTCATCGGCAAGGCTCTTCCCCTCGGCGAGCTTACGGAAGGCGGCGAGACCAAGGAGGGCGGTGGCTTCAGCATCATGGGCGCCACCAAGGGCGTCAAGGGCATCGTCGACACTGTCGATGGCACTGTTCAGACTGTCAACCGCACATTACCGCTTGTCGGCGACCTGACCAAGGGTATTGGTCTGGGCGAAGGCCAGGGTGGTGTGCTCGGCGGCGTCCTTGGTGGTGGTCAAGATGAGAAGGGTTCCCAAGGCGGCCTCGTCGGCAACACCCTGGGCAACGTTACCGGAGCTCTCGGCGGTCAGTCCGAGAAGGGCACATCTTCAGACAACGCTCTCGGCGGCCTGCTTGGAGGTGTTTTGGGCCAGAGCCAAAGCGGCGGCCCTCTTGGTGGCGTCCTCGGTGGCACCGAGCCATTGAACCGCGACCAGTCCGTCACCGACAAGGATGAGAAGCTCACCCAGCTTCTTGCTGAGCAGAAGGAGGAGGCAGATGACAAGGCCTCCTTGACCGAGAACGCGAAGCAGAACCTCTTCGAGAACAACGAGACAACATCAGAGGTTGCCCCAATCGATCTCCAGGATGTCGAAAAGTCGCAACCCGACGTTGACGCTGATGGTAAGCTCACAACCGGCGGAGAGAACACCCAAACAGAGACTGAAGATTCCCAAGGCGCCAAGACAGACCTCACAGAACAATCGACAATCGACGGCAAGAGTGACTTGCAAGAGGTCGACGCCGAGCCCATCGAGGAGGCGACAGAGGGTGCCGAGACTGTCAAGGACGACGCGACCGAGAAGGCTGGCACTGCCCAGACTGATGCTCAGTCCCGTGTTCCGGATGACATCGCTACCCTCGACATTCCCGTCTCACAGATTCCCGACGGTCTGAAGAGTGAGCTTCCGGAAGATGTCCAGACTGCCGACATCCCTGTATCGCAGATTCCCTTCGACGCTCAGTCCAAGCTTCCCACCGACCTCGTTTCCAAGCTTCCTTCGGATCTGGCCTCTCAGGTTGAGGACGCTAAGTCCGGCGCCGAGACTGCTCGCGAATCTGACGCCACTGAGGACTGGGCGAACCAGCAGAACCCCGAGGAGCAATCCGAGGTTCCCGAAGATGCCCAGACTGGCGAGTTCCCTACCGAGGGTGTCGAGGGCGAGGGCTTTGAGGCTGTCGACGAGGGTGTTGACTCCGGTGTGGAGGGCATCGAAGATGTTGCCGAGAACGCTACTGCGAAGACTGGCGATGTTCCTGACATTGACGTCACCGCTGCTTCTGAGTCTGCTCCCAAGTCTACCATCAAGGATGACATCAAGAGCGTCCTCAGCACCATACGCTCTGCCATTCCCGATGACCAGCGCACCGTCTCTGTTGCCGGCGACAAGCTTCTCCAGCCATTCGAGAAGTTCCCTGGCGCCCAGGTTGACGAGGAGGGAAGGGTCGTCTTCGACGATGTTTCCATCGGTCGCATCGCCGAGGGCAACCCGGAGGAACTTGCTGGCATGACCCTCGATGCCGAGGGTAACATTGTCAACGAGCGCGGCAGCATCATTGGCAAGGCCGAGCTCAAGTCTGAGGTTGCTGAAGAGCTTCTCAAGGACACCATTGACTTCTCCATCCTGAAGGGTGCCAAGGTCAACAAGGCTGGCAACCTCGTCAACGACAAGGGTGAGGCCGTCGGTCGCATCGTCTCCGGTATCCTCAAGCACTTGGTTGGTCGCAAGGCCAACGAGCTTGGAGAGATCTGGAATGACAGCGGCAAGGTTATTGGCAAGGCCGAGCCCATTCCCGAGACTGAGCGTGAGGAGCTTAGCGAGCCTGCTCCCTTCGAGGACTTCCCTGGCGCAACCGTCGAGTCCAACGGACACGTTCTCTTTGAGGGCGACATCGTCGGTCGTGTCATTGAGGGTGACCCGAAGAAGCTCAAGGGCAAGAAGGTTGACGACGACGGTGACATTCTTGACAAGAGCGGCAATGCCATTGGCAAGGCCGAGCGTTGGGAACCCGAGTCTGAGCCCGAGCCTGAACCGGAGGCCCCTGTTGACAACTCTGCCCTCGCTGGCAAGCGCGTCAACAAGGCTGGCAACGTTGTCGACAAGGATGGCACCATCTATGGCCGCATTGTCGAGGGCGATATCAAGCGCCTGATCGGTCGTATGTGTGACAAGGACGGAAACGTTCGTAGCGAGTCCGGTGATATCATCGGAAGAGCTGAGCTTGTCGCCGAGGGTGACCGTGAGGGAGCCAAGGAGGGCCCCTTCGCTGAGCTCCCTGGCTGCACTGTCGCCAAGGATGGTACCATTGTCACTCCATCTGGAGATATTGTCGGTCGTCTTGTCCAGGGTGACGCCAAGGTTCTGTTTGGCCGCCCCATTGATGAGGATGGTGACATTCTTGACCGCAATGGCAACCTGCTCGGCAAGGCTGAGCGTTGGGAGCCCGAGGCTGCACCCGAGAGACAGAAGGGACCTATGGAAGGCCGCAAGGTTAACCGCAGCGGCGAGGTTGTCGATGAGGATGGCGACGTGATTGGCAAGCTCACCTCTGGTGAGATCAAGGCCTGCGCCGGCAAGCCTGTCAACGAGGACAACGACGTTGTCGACTCCAAGGGACGTGTTGTCGGTCATGTCGAGCTTCTCGAGGACATTCCTGAGCCCAAGGGCCCCATGGAAGGCAAGGTTGTCAACAAGGAGGGTTTCGTCGTCAGCGACAATGGCGAGACCCTTGGTAAGCTTACCAGCGGTGAGCTCAGCATCTGCGCTGGCAAGAAGGTCAACGAGGACAACGATGTTGTTGACTCCAAGGACCGCGTTGTTGGCCATGTCACTGCCATCTCCGACCTTCCTCAGAAGAAGGGACCTATGGAGGGCCGCAAGGTCAACAAGAACGGTGAGGTTTGCGACGAGGATGGAAACATCATCGGCAGACTTACCACTGGCGAGGTCACCATTTGCTCCGGCAAGGAGGTCAACAGCGACAACGACGTTGTCGACTCCAAGGACCGTGTCGTCGGACACGTCACCCTCGTCGAGGATATCGTCGAGGAGGAGGAGACCCCCGAGGAGACTGAGGAGGAGAAGCAGGCCCGCATCGAGGCTGAGGCCGACCGCAAGTTGGCCAAGAACCTCGGTGGCCTGATTGAGCAGGGCTTGGATCGTCTCCGTCCCATCTGCAAGATGATTACGCAGAAGATCGAGGCCGCTGAGCGCCAGCCCAAGGAGGAGCGCGACGAGGAGCAGCTGGTCAAGGATGTCAAGCCTCTCATTGAGGAGGGTGGCAAGCTCTTGACTGAGTTGAACGGCAGCGTTCGCGCCTTGGATCCCGATGGACGCATCCAGCAGAACGCTAAGGCCAAGGCCCAGACTCGTGAGGCTACTCCCGAGGAACATCACCTCGCTGAGGTCCTTAAGGAGGTGAGTTTGACTTTGATACAAAACCTACCATGATCATGAATATAAGCTAACTCTGTTGACAGTTGACTGGTACCATCACGGAAACCGTCGAGGGTGCCAAGCGCAAGCTTGAGGATCTTCCCAAGGCAAAGGCTGAGCTCAACCCTCTCTGGGGACTTCTCACCGAGCCTCTGTTCCAGATTCTGGCTGCCGTCGGCCTTTTGCTGACTGGTGTTCTCAACCTGGTTGGTCGTCTTCTCAACGGTCTTGGCCTCGGCAAGATTGTCGATGGTCTTCTCGGAACTCTCGGTCTCAACCGCCTGCTGGATGGTCTCGGCCTCGGCAGCTTGACCAAGGCTCTTGGTGGTGGCAAGAAGAAATAAGCGCTTCTAATGATTGCATGATTTGTTGTACTCGCGCGGTGGATCTATCGGATACTGTTTTGACGATGGTTTACGGACGTGTAATTTCTTTGGCGTGTTACTTGTACGGTTTTCCGGGGCTTTCTAGCAAAAATGTTTGGATTCGGTCTTGTAAGAATAGCAATGGTGTTTTAGTTACTAGTAGTCTTAGCGACCAATTTGTACGGCCTTTCTAGTTACTTAATGTTCATGCTTGTCGTCGATCCTAGTGTTGCTTCGTGAACGTATATGGGTATCGTGAAGCAAGCTACGGCTTATGCTGGGCTAGATCGTTCAGTCGAAAAAATGGTGGTTGGATGCGTTGGGATGAGAGAAACAATCGTGAGGAAGTGAAGTCAAAAAAAGGTAGAGTTTTCCTTCCGACGGGGTCGCACCTTGTGCCTTCCTTCGTCAAACAAACAAAGGTCGTGTGGCAGGTGGGCAGGTGCGAGGTGCAGCCTTCCCGGTGGAAGCGCAACTTAAGGTACAAGGCACAAGACACTTGAGGCAGGGACCACCCATTGTTGTTGATCCCAATGACCCCATCACCCCCAACCCGCCCTTTCCTCCCTTTGCACTCACGCACTCTGCCACTCTGAGTCTGAGTCTGAGTCTGAGGTGGGCTTTGCCTTCCCTCTTTCGGCTGTTTCTGGTCTTAGCTTGGAGCACCTGCCGCGAGACAAACCCGCTCCTTTCCCAATTCGACAAGGCAAGCAAGAGCCGCCTTCCCAGTTACGGACTCGTCGTTGATGATCGTCAACTCGTCGCTTCCTTCTTCGCTCGTCTTATTGTCCGTTTGGCATCTGCCGCTTGTTCTTAGCCAACTTTTTATTGCAGCTTGCCCCATCCGTGTATTGTCCATGTGGCTTCCCGTCCTGTCATCCCTTGAATCCCGTGCATGTGCCGTGGTCACTTTTGTCACCACATACCTAGTACCTAGGCCCCCGTTTGTTCGTGGATCGAAACATTGCAAGCCGATCCGCCATCAATCCACGGGCCACCTCATGGGCTTCAAAACCGCTCGGCCGAGGCAGTGAGACATGACACCACTTTTGTGCTTCCTAAGCCTGAGTAAATCACCAATAGTCGCATTTCCAATATCCCCGAGTTCAAAACAGACAAGCAAGCCCGTCCTTCTGCCATGATTGCCATCAACGCCGTGCCTGTTTTGCCCGTTCGGGTGGTGTGCCCCGCGATTTAGACTTTTTCTTACTATTGCTTCCCTTGTCCATAACGCCCAAAAACAGGGACCCCGAAATGCCCCAATGCTCCCTCAATATCGTGCCGAAGGGCTGAAGCCTGTTTTTTTTGCGATGCTCCAGGCCGCGTAGTGAAGCCTGGAGGGCCTGGAAGGGGCAGGTTTCTATTAATTAACCATGGCACCCTCGCACTCTTCGCAGCATTCAGGGCAGCATTTCTCTCCGTGTTCATCTGGATATGCGGGAGCGTTGGGGATGGGACGACGGTAATCACTTGGCGCGCTCCACTGCATCACAACAACGGCATTATCGAATTGTGTTTTGGCTGTGCCGCTCGAGTTACACCCCCGGAATATCGACAACACAGTCAACACTCGACCGGTACAGATCGGAATCGACGAACGGATGCCATACCAAAGTCCCATGGTCCACGAACTTTGGATCCCCATATGAAGACACGGCACCACACACGGCACCTCACGACAGGCAGCTACTCCTCCGACTGATATTTGATTCGACTCGCGATGTGTCTGAGGCGGAAACATGAGACATCCCATTTTCCGACAATTTACAGAGAAACCACGACTTTGCTTTTTCCATACCTGCTAATCTCACAGCGAAAACAATCCGACCCCACCGCTGGAACAGAAGACGAGAGACGAAACTCACGAGAATGATCTTGCTATCAACCGACCGCGATGACAAGCGTCACCTACGATGCAAGCTACCGCGACACGCACCTCTAGGTCCCTAGCCCAGTACCGGAAGGCGTCCGCTCCGGTCGGCTATTCTCCTAGCGACATTCTTCAGCGGGCCCTCCGCTGTCGTCCCCCCTTGCAGCTCCTGCGCTCCCGTCCTTTGGATTCCCGCCGAGCTCGGCGATATTCCCGCTCTCTGTCCGGACCAACCAAACTCGGACCATCCTACCTTAAGTTTATCGATTAGATAGGACAACCGATAAGACACCTCAGCCAGGACAAGCTTTATCGATAAAGCAAGCCATCGAATCGAGCGAGCTTTCCATCCTCATCCTCAACAAATGGAAGGTGACGTCAAACCCGACGCCGCCCCTTGAGCTCTAAGCACCTGCCCGTCACCTTTCATCCAACCACCAGCGCACCACCACTCGCATGCCGCATGACGGCATCAACATGTCAACCGCCGCAATCAGCAACCAGCTGCTAATCCCCCCTCATTCGACCATGTCCCACCACTCAAAGAGCGCCCTTCTCTCTACCTTGCCAAAAAACACAAGGTAGAGCTCAGAGAAACGCCTCCGCGCAACGCCCCTCCATTGACGCAAGAGCCCCTCCATGCTGAGACTGGACCAGCCTCTGGCCCCTCTTTCCTCGTCTGGATGAATATCGTAAACGTGATGTAGAATGATGTACCACAGGAGTATTCACTCCGTCCTAGCATAAGCCGTGAGCTACTTGCCTTAGCCTTCGTATTTAATCCCATGTCTCTCCATTCCTGAACTTAACTCTCTCTTCTTCATCCACCAGCCTCATAAATCACGACACGACCGTTCCATTTCGTGACGACTAAACCATCTAAATCACCTCAAACCAAACTTCCATACACATTTCACAATGCCCGAAGGTCGCCAATCCCCCGACCCTGAACGCCAAACCGGCGCCCAGCTACAAGATCCCCCCGCCTCAGGCAAGGGAACCGACGACGCCTCCAACAAGGAGCAGACTAACAAGGAGTCTCTCGATGTATGTTTTCCACCTTTCCTCGAAATCCCCACTCGTCGCACCAAGGTCAAATCCTAATTGAATTGCCTTCATCACAGAAGCTAGAGTCTAACCCCAAAGGGCCCCTCGACGACGCCCTCAAGGAGAAGTTCTCCAAGACGCAATAAAGAGAGGGGCATAAGCGTCAGTAATGGCATTTGTACAAAAATGGCGTTGGGAATATGAGGCAATGACATCACACAATGCGATAGTGCGTGGGGCTGTATTATAGATATCTGAACTGCTCGAGAGGCATTTGAAACCACCAGCGTCCCCCTTTGCAGTGAATCTGAAAGATCATCATGTCATGTCTAGCCACGACGTGCGCAGAGTGTCGCATGTGAAGTGACACCGCCTGAACCGATTCGGCACTGCCAGTCTGACTTATCCCACACCATCTCGACTACGGTTTTAATCACTCAACAATTATGTTGCAAAAGTTTGCCAACCACCGCGACCTAAAGACTCCAATTTTACGCAAAGTTTGCGGATCTGATAGCGGTAGGATTGCTCCTGAAAGTGTGAGGTTTCTCATCATCAATGATAACGCAAACACGGTAAACTCACCTTTCACAAAGACGAAATCACCAACATGATTCAGGTGGGCAACACACATAGTCAGGCCAACACAATCACATCAGATTTTGAAGTCCAGCGAATTGGTGATATGCTCGATGCTATGATTTGCATTCAAAGTCGTAACTACCTAAGTGCCAAGGAAAACCACACGCGTCGCAATCATGAAACGTTTGTGCCTAATAAACCCAGCCAACGCCTGCCGTCAAATCCTTTTGTAAACCGCTTCTCATAATCTTTTACAAGGTAGTCTTCTCATCGGTGGCGGCCGACGGCTTGGACAGAGGAACAGCCGTCGTGGGGTCGGGCTGGATGGGAGACTGAGTGCCAATGGTCTCGCCGGTTGCAGCGGGGGCAGCCTTCTCCTTGCCGAGGAATCTCTCGAGACCGGAGGCCTTGTAGGCGCTGCCGCCGTGCTCCTCCTTCTTGAGGTCGGCAAGGCGACGGGCCTCGGTGTGAATGTCCTGCACCTGTCTGGAGCCGGTCTCGTAGAAGCCAACAATCTTCTTGCCAGTGGGCGTGCTGGTGGCCTTCTCAAAGTACGAGCTGAGACCGCCAAAGATGCCCTGGGCCTTAGCAGTGATGCCGTAGGACTGGTCGGTAGCCTTGGCACGGTCGGTTGCGTGGTACTTGGAGTCGAGGCCTTGGAGGGTGGTCAAGAAGCGGTTGGAGACACCGTGCTGGCTGTCGAGCTCGATGGCGCGCTGCAGGGCGGCGTCACCGACGACGTATCCTTGAGCAAGGTACTCGGCAAAGATGCGAGAGCGTGGCTTCTCTTCTTGTGTAATGTCGTCCGAGTCGCGGTCGGCGTTCTCCTTGTGATGGGGAGCGTCATCGGTAGGGTCGCCACCGGCGCTGGTAACGGTGATGTGAGAGGTGCCGAGCTGAGTGTTGTTCAGGAGCAGAGCCGTCTTGGCAGCTGTCTCCTTCTCGAAAGTAACGGCAGCATCCTTGGTCTCGCCGGCGGGAGTAACCTCAATGTTGGTGATCTTGCCGCTGCAAAATGTCAGCATTTACTCAGTGGTCGCTGCGGTGAAAATAGGGGTGGGTATCAGGCCATGGAAGAGCCGACGGGATTGAACTTACCAGAAGCTGAAGAAGTCCTTGATCTCCTTGTCCTCGGTCGCCGAAGCGATGTTCTTGACGTGAACGGTGGTGTTTGACATGATGGCGGTTGTTTGGCGTTTGTAGTTGTTGAAGAGTGTTGTGAAAAGTGTTGTAGGAGGGAGTTTTGTGAGGGGTAACTGGAGACTGGATGGGGTATCAAGGGCTGTTATGTAAGTTACGTTGTCTCTCAAGTTAGAGGGGTATCTGGGAAAAAGCAGAGAATGAGTCGAGCAGGAAGTACGTTGCTCGAAATCGTGTGGATGATGGGTTTTATGTAAAAGCTGGACGTGTCTGGATGGGAATGTTGGAGGCGAGTACCTACCTTATGATGATCAGACGAAGGGTCATGAGAACGCGCTTT